TTACTGTTCTGATCGCCAGTGTTTATGAAGATAAGCTGAAAGCAGATGAAAGTGTGTGTATAAAGTGATATTCTATGCTGTGTGCAGATCCATGCTGAGCAGTTTTGAGAAACCTGGAGCTTAAAAACTGTGATTTAGAGTGGAGAATCAGATAAGGGACCAACAGGAAAAGCATGATGTGGCACAGGACGATAGTGACAATATAGTTTACATTCATCCTGGGATTACTTCACTGGAAGAGCTGACAACCTGCTCTCAACCACAGTATAACAGTGGGATGGTGAAAAACGGACTCACTAACCTTGTCTCCCAGGAAAGCGGAAGAATTTCTCTGATCGACGTGGCTGTTTCTCCGTGATCGATCAATGCTAAGGCCCCCGGGGTGGTTGGCAGTCAGGAATGGACTTTATTGGTTCGAAACAGGTACAAGGAATTAGAAAACGGAATTTCAATCTTAACTAAATTGGATAAAACAATACAGTCTTCCTGTTTTCTCAACTAATTGTTTGTGTGAATTACTGGAACTGGAACCTTTTGAATCGCAATTTGTCTCGAAATGGGAGATTGACGGATACTGTTTTCATCGTCAAATTGCAGAACATTATTTTTAAAGTTTCCGGAAACTTACTATTCACGAGCTCCATGCTTCCGACGTCATACTCGGTGACAGTGCTAAACTTTTCCCAAGAAGATTTCAAAATCTCTCATTTGGAAATAGATTTTACACCGAAAGAGCAGTCTCTAAATGGTATCAAACGCCTCAGTTTGCAGCAGCACCCGGATTGATCAATTCATAGAGCCATTCACCACCAGGGAAATCCTAGGCCTTGTTCCGCAACATCGAGAGAAAACCTTTTTTCCTGTTTTACTAATAGAATCACGAAACTATTATTGCAAATTCTATCGAAGATGAGCTTGAAGGCTCTCAGAACTCGTCCAGGAGGTTTTCCCTTCCCAAGTCAATTTCCGAGTCATCTCGATCACAGATGGATAATTGTCTCACATCAGATTTCCGTTCTCAGGTGCTGGGTTACCATCCAATGTTCTTTCTTGTTCCCCAGGATTGCAAGTTTGTAAATCCGCCTACCTCTTTCTGTATACCATCTATTTAATTTCTGTTTATTGAACAATGGTGTCAACAACTTAGTTTTTATCTGAATGTCACCCCTGCATACCCTTCATTAGACTATGTCCGATTGTGGGATTTACTACTTTTAATGTAGATCACCTGGTGTATAGCATAAGCTCCATTCAGTCCAGTGTGGATAACTGTACAGAAACTTTGTCAACTACTCTGTTCAATTTGAAATGTAAAATATTGAGAGGGAGAATTCAATTGTTTATCCACTGCGCATATTTTGAGGATAAAATCCAAACCTACAACACATATTCCTAATGCACTTTTTCGATTAATCAGACAACCGCTTTCGTGGAGCAAACCACGTAGGTCATACTGCGAGACTTCTGTTTGGTCATGCAGAGATATGTCACCTCAACTGGTTGAATCAGAGAATGGCGAAGATCAGAGTAATACCAATAATCTGACTAAATTTAATTCCACAGTCACCGGACTGGAAGCGATTGAGTTTCCTTACATACAGTCCACCTCTACAATAGAATTAACTAATAATCTGACTGTGTGATGGCGAACATTTGAGGAGTAAAAATGATTAGGTCACATGTCTCTGTACAAGAAATTATGGGAAATTTGAACGTATCTTTCAAGGCTACACGAGGCAGTTATAACAACATGAACAGAAGTAGGAAATATAATCAACAGTCTACATGTGCGCGTTTGAATAAGTAACCTCATTTACAGTGATCACTCGTCAGGTGTGCTTTTATGTTGACTCTCGTGTGGAAAGTTGTATGATGTACATGTTTGTCAATTGATACTAGTCATGTTTGGATTAAGAGCCAATCACTAATGGACTAGTCTTTTCAAGTACAGCCAATGGCATGGATTAGATAAAACATATGATAACTGTTTGTTTTCTTTAGCCGCGTTTCACAGAACTCCCGTTCAATTTATCTGACCGCATCTAGAGAAATACAATGGACCAAATTATGCTTTCAGTTGAGTGTAAGTACCTCTATAACACAGGAAGTAATAATTCCACATGAAGTACATATATTGTTACAGATCAGTGTCTGCTTGAGTATGAAAGATGGTTTACCGTCATAAATGGTTAACTTCCAAAAATTTCGTTAACGGTTTTTAATAACACTGCCAATGGAAAGTCCAGTTCTCATCAGTTCACATAGGTTGTCCACAAGTCTTCGAATGCGTCTTACTGATTCGCTTTGGAATCAGCTGAACGATTACGCGTGACCTTGGTGTATGGTAATCATCTGCTTCCCAACCCATGCAATTACTACTGAAAACTATCTATTCAAGCAACATGGTAAATTGACCATTCCATTCACTTGTTATGGAATTGTGTAATCCAGTTAAACAGTTACTCTCACCACTTCGTGCGATACTTGGCAAGCATTTCAGGAAGTGCTTTCAAATTATACAAGAACGACCGGAAATTCTACGAGTCACATCACCTGAAAATTTATTTTGCAATGCTCATTTATTCAATGAAATTGAGAGATTATTGTTTCAGAGAGCGGTTTTAAATGGATCTGCCTGTCTAACCTCTTGTTGGTTAATATAAGCTTTCAGGTGACCAGCTGACGCTATAAGTTAATGTGAATAAAAGCTACTCAAACTGTAAAATTTGACCCTCCCCGAAGTGGTGGATTCAGGATTATTGGATAGCAGTTTATCCAACAGTATGATTGAAATTCAACAGTTTTCATTGACTTCATGCTTCCGTGAGCCACTTATTGCCAAAACAAATTCCGGAAGGACTGAAATATTTAACTGCAAACAATTCGGACAACGTGAAACATCTTAAAAGTGATCGTAAATAACATTCGATGTGTTTCTTAAGTAGATAATTGTGTTAGAAACCCATTTGAACAGCTGCTTGGAGCCGTCCAGAAGTTTATATTAAACAAGTAACGACAGAATGCACAGAATTGAATTGAATTCTCTTAGTGAAACTCACTCATGTCCCAGTATCTTTGTCAGGCATGCCTCCAGTTTTGGTTTCTGTGGAAGGGGAATGAGATGAGACAAGCAGTAAGCCTAATGACGTTTTAATTTTCCTGGAAGTTCCGTTATCGATATGAATGAACAATGCATACTAGTAATATGAAAGCACAGTTGGTTGAATTTTCAATTTGCCGTTTGGTTTTTTATTTTCAGTTCAGTTCAATCAGCATGAGATTTGGATGATCCGGAAGGATGTTCCTTGTGCTTCAGGGGAACTTTCCTCACCCTTTCGCTCTTGTCAATTAGGACACTCTATTCGCGTATTTCAGTACAGGTTTTAATCAAAGTTTTTGAAAAAAATGTGAGAATACGAAGGCATCAACCTGTTGAATAAATCGTAAACAGCAAAGCTACAGGCAAACTCAACTGTCCAGCGGTCCCACCTTTAGATGAACTGATAAACTTCAACGAAAACCCATGCCAAACCCCTAAGCGCAAGAAAGAGATTAGGCACTAGTCTTTCATCTAACGTAGGAAATTGTTAACAGATAGATCATATCAACAAAAGATATCAAGACAATGTGAGCTATTTTTCTTTTTTTTAATTATCACTCTTTTTATTTAGTTTTTGAGATAGCCAAACTTTGTGTTCAATTTTAATACGCATACATATGTTTGAGCATTGGCGTTGTTTGAGTATCTCTTGTGAGTCAACACGTAGAGAAGGCAACATCCAAAATCATATCGAAATTTACACTGCAGAGTAAGCAGTATGCATCATATTCACTCCAATATTCTGATCTGATTGAGGCTGAATCCATCATAACTTCCCTTATCATCAGATTGTGAAACATCCGTTTTCTTTTGATTGTCAAACTTTTGGTTTGGGAATAATCTCAGACAGCGCCTAATTGTGCGAGATATGATATTCATATACATTGCTCATTCTCTTTGTACATACCTAGTCGAACTTTACACGGTTTTTCACTCCAGTTTATTTTGGTTGATAGAATTCATCAGGTTTGCTTGATTTCACTCAGTTGTTTTGGCTACTTAGTCGATCTAACCTTTGGACATTGTTTTATCCTCGTTTGAGTGAAGAGAGTAAAATTTTCTGTGGTGATCCGGGTCTACGAGATGACGCCTACCCTGGAGCGGAGCGTTACAGGTTTTGGACAAATGCGATCAATCAAACGCATGGGTCACGTCAACAACGCGCGTACGTGTCACTGCTTCTGAATTCATACCATAGGTAAATCGTAGCAGCCAACCAGAGAACGTGCGGCCCAGACAGTAGCAGAACGATGCCAGAAATACTGGAAGGTGGTTGGTAGAAACCCGGATAACCAATGAGCCTACTTTGCACATATTATTTTATCACCCTCATTTCCACCAATAGACGAACTACCATTTCTGTGGTCTTTTCCTCGCGTCTCAGTTGCGTGGGATAGTGCGTGCTAGTGGACTGCGGTCTAGTGCTTAGGTGATCCAGTCCGTGATAGCTGATCCCTGATTCGTGTTCCGAGTTCCGTGCGTATTACCGTTGCTACTATTAATACTACAAACACTACATTTTCCTTCAAAGATGCTCTGTATAAGTTGAATTGAACCAACAACAATAGGGTGTTGTTGAGTAGTTTATATCGGACTCGAATATGTGAAACACATGCAATGTTTGGTGTAAGCATGAGGACCATCTGAAAGTGACCATTTTTAACTTGATTTCACTTTGAAAGAGCTGTGAAACCCTAGCACTGAACTGTTACTTTGGTGGATCACGAGCCGTAGACAACTAAGCAAAATAGTCATATTGATTTCAGATGTGATTATTGAGTGACAGTGAAATGGAAAGTTTGTTTTAATTGTTACTAAGTGTTTACTGTCGACGATTAACTATTCACACACATATCTATAAACAAGTGGAACAATGAATAACACTTTCAGTCGAACTCACATTGCCCACAGTGCGATCAGCACTGGCTTTACTAGCATTTGCCCGATTAATCTGCCAATTTTCCAAAATTAACAATCCGGCGTAGATTTTTCCCACCGTCAGATGCGTAAACGTGTATTCTGAAAAAAATCAAGGAGAGTATGAGCAATTAAAGTGAAGAATTCAAAATTCATTTATCAGTCCTCATCAGCGGAGGACGTCTGCGGTTGACTGTGAACATGATTACATTTCAACCGACTGTTGACTGGCTACGCATGCATCACATATGATCCTTCATTGTGACCGTGTCTTGAACACGGCTAAAAGTTAGGGAGCCCTGTTGACTGTATGCTGACTACTTCAATACAAATGCATCTGGTTAATAAAAGTAACATGACCACGAACATATATATATATATATATGTACTACGTGATTCAAAAATTCGGGTCAAATGGAGAAGAGCAAGTTTGTGTAAGGTCATAATAAATGTCATGAAAAATTTGTGCTTTTGAGTTAGGCTCTCTTCAACCATTATGTGAACGAAATGAGACTGGTCGAGATTATTCAGTAACTAGGTTTTTGATCATAGCAAATGGAATATCCTGATGGTACTTTGTTTACGAGGACATGGAGGAGATAATCAGTGAGGCGTTCTCAAATAATGCACGGAGTACTCCTGCTTGGCAATCAGAAAACCAATTCATTGGGAGAAAGGCTGTTTTTCTAACTGGAACTTCAGTCATTTACAGTATGGTATAAGCATGTTTATATACAAAATAGCTGCTCGGAAGTCTCGAGTTCAAGCCACGTCACCACTGCTCATCTTCCGAATTTCTGTGTTTTCCTAGAGAACCTCTATATGGCCGTGGCCCCTTTCCTGAAAGTTGATTACACATTTATAAATTCAATCAATAGAAAAGTAAAGAAACTGCAGTTAAGTTGTATAGAGTAATTTATAAAGTGAGAAAAAAATAAATGGTTTGAACACAGAAGCTCGAAGAAGGGATGGCCAGTGGGTCATCTCGCAATTCGTCACATTCTTAAAAGCTGTCATGGCATGACAGATGCTACGATCATATTCAATATCAAGGTTAACTCCAGGCCACGGTAGCTTGAGTGCTTTGACTGGTTTCCTGTGCACAAACCGAACGGTTTATTAGCTTAGTTGTGACTGCTTCCACCATTGTTAACTAGCATTGTTGTACGAGCTTTGATCTAGTCAGAGGTACTCAGTATATGAATTTGCAACTGTCGTTGCCAACCTGATACCCGTTTTCCGCGAGATGATCAATGGCTACACTTCTTGCTGTTTTCATACCACCAGTGCTGAGACAGACCGCTTTGTGCTCTTCGTTTCTCGAAGACATCCGCGCCGTTACTCGTCGCATAGACACAAGTAAACGAATAGGTAACCACTCACGAAGTGATAATGGGCAGATTAGCTTTGTGATTCGTGCTTACTATTGAGATGCTGTTGAACGTTACCTGTAGGGTAGTGGTTGGATAACCACGGGCAGTCATTTTTCCAGTTGTCATTTGAGTATCCGGCTGAATTTGTCACCTTTAAGAGACACTCGTAAGAATAACTGTTTTGCTGTCATTGTTTCTGGTAGAGGTGCGCGTAGTTCTCCGTAAATCGTTCAGAGAATGCGCTATTTTGAAGAACGTACTCAATTTTCTTCTTTATTGTCTCTCTTGACTGGTGGTGGCGCAGTGGTTTAGTTGCTGTCACCGACCTGCTTTGAACCCTATGGTCCGAGGTTCGAGCCCCGCTACCGCCACCCGACTTTGGTGGTAGACAGCTCTGTTGTCGTTCGGTTCAATAACACGCCTAACCTAGTTATAAAAACAAACTTGTCCGCAGTGAACTGTTGTAATGACTGTGACCATATTATTGCTATTGTTATTGGATCATTGGTCTTCAACCAAGTCCTCTGGGATGTTCCTTGGATCTCTGTGAGATTGCCTGTTTCTGCAACCCACGTAAATCACAGCACTTACTGAACCCAATCACTTATTTCATCTTCCATAACTAGTAGCTTTATGCAAATGGAAACCCGCTCGACTGGTAAGGTCTCGGATTACTGGAAACCCTCCCTAATGCCAGTTCCAGTCAGTCCCACTGAGTGACAATAAATCCACCAGTACACAATTGTGTCCTCCAAATACGCGTTCGATGGTTTTCTAGAACAACGTTTTCAACGAAATATGTCAAAGTGCTGTCTATTATGCTTTGGGTTTTGTAAGATGGACATTTTCTGTCCGACTGGGTTGCAAAGAAAGTAAGTAAAGTTGACTGAAAAATAGCACTGTTTCTCTCCATCCCGTAGCCGGTATGGGAAAATGTATTTTTTTTTTCAGGGCTGACTCAGCCTACATTTAGGCAATCGTTGAATGCTAACACACAGTTTATTGCCTTTTAATGTGGAAACGAAAAATAAGTATCGGTCGCCTACCTGCTGCAAATAGGGAGAGCTAAACAGTCGATTTGCTGCCATTAAACTGAACCTTTGGTGCTCAAGAAAAGATTTTAGGCACTTTCTGAAGGGTTTTAGCATCGACGAAGTTTCTAATTTGTAAGCCGGGCAACAAGAAATGGCTATATGGTGCTTTATTATTGTTTTTTTCTTCTTCTGGAAAAGCTGATGTACCCGTTAAGGTTCCCCTACTTCCGTCTAGTTCAGAATCTATATATCAGAGTCAAAGTTAGCACTGGAATGGCAATAGAGTTATTTTTTCCCGTTTCTATCTTACAAGTATCATTGCGAAATCAAATCGAACTTTCCCTCACCGGTTCGACGATTTCATAGTTGACCCGATAACACAAACGATTGGATACGGCTTATCCCCTCATCTCGGAGTCACCAACACTCAAAGGGGTCAACTTATAAGCTGTTCATAAGACCAAGTACATTGGCAAATGCAGGCGTGACCTGTCATCAGAGTGTGGTCGCGCAGGGCAACCAAGTGTTTAACGCACGAACCTGCGCAGTCTGTTTCATACTGGCATTTGATTGGCTGAGGTAAATCAATCTTGTGATTAAGTCTGCGAGACGTACGTGCGTGCGTGTGTGGTACCAGGCAGCATCGATCAATCTATCAATCAATCAATCAGGCATGATGTGTTTCAAATCTCATTGGAAGGTTTTAGTAGGAATAGAACAGGAAGGCCGAACGAACTGTATTATGCAGACAAGTCGACACATTCATTTGCTAAATGAAATTCAAGGGAATCATATCTTTATTTTACGAAGCCAATCGATACACCGACCAACAAAGTTGTTTAAAGCTACTGGGCAAGGTAGATTTTGACAAAACAATGGCTTTCGGATTTACCAATTATCCGAACCACGGGACATTATTTCATTATAGCTCAACCTGATCTTAAGAAATTTCTGAAAATATTCTCAATTTATCAGTCATTAGATATGCAACTATGCGGAAAATTTGTAGAAAACGAGGAAGATGATCAGCGTTGGCCAGAGTCGAAAAAATGACGTCTGGGACACTGTAAGTGTAACGCTAGGCAAGTTGAGCACATCACCGCGATTTTGGATTGAGTGTGAGTCGTGTGTCTCACTGGACCTTTTGGTTCATGGTTGTTTTGTATTTTCCCCTGTAATACAGGCTGTTTGGAAATCCGCCTTTCACGTAGAACCTGTTGACCATGGTGTCTCCTACGTGTGCATTGAGAGCGTCTGTGCTGGGCAGCGTTTACGAGTTGGTTTGACATCCAAAAGAGGGTTTTGTTTGTGGTATTCTGACAGGGCTATTAACACCATACGAAACTCAGATTGGGTTACTCGAAATTAACCTCCTGCAGTATATTGCGAATCGGTGGCAGCGGTGAACTAAGTCATGCACATTACATAAGGATGGTAAAGATTAAATTGTCCTTTTTTGTGGATCAAAAAGCCGTTGGCAAAATAATACTTATTTTAGCTTACTGAAGTATTATCTTAGACCAAACTAAATATATAACGTAATTTACGGTGAATAAATTGATAATCTTAAATGTTGTCACAGAATTCTGTCACCTGGTATTTTAGCTGAAACAAAAGAAAAACTGCGAATTTTGGGTTGATTCTAATAGCAAAGCACCGCATCCATATCGTCAACGTATCCAACTAGGTGTCTACCAATAACTTGACCACTTGATCGTGATAGATTGCTGTGATTGAGGCATGTTTTACTTCTCTCCCGTTAATACTGCTCCTCATGCAATATTTACTAATCACTTAGTAGATTGGGCGTCAGGAACTTGCCATGGCTTGAAAAATAACAAAACGTTCATCAGTGGACTTACTGAAGTAGGTCATTCCGGACTACTTTATTGCTTTCAGGTTTGACCGCATTGTCGATTGATGGCACTGCACGGTAAAATTACTTAACGCCCGTGCGTTTTATCTTGTATTCAGAATTCCTGATGACTCTTTACATTTTGTTTTGACTCTACGCTCAGTTCTGCTTTAACTTGATCCTTATTGGATGATCAAATGGTTTTTCAAAGCACAGCAACTTAATCAGGTAAATAAATGAGCTGCATTGAAATGTAAATTTATTGAATTTGTGAGTCAAGCAGCACCATTACATGAACGAAAAAAAGAGTAAAATTTATTGAACTAAAAGAGTGGTTTTCATAGAAGAAAAAAGTGTTTCTCACCACTATCCGGAGGCTGTAGCAAATCCAGTTTGCGTTTCGCTTGAACTGGCCACAACGTGCGAATGGTCTCACGCAATTCGGCATCCTTTTGGTCCATCATCTCGGCCGGAGCCATTTTAATACTGAGCGCTTCACGAACAAGGGCGAACAGCGTGGTGGTAAAATGTACCGTGCCCTGACTATCCACGGGCATGTTCATTCGGATCAGTTTCTGGTTGGGACAACGTTGGGGAATAGGATTGAGTTGATGATCACCCGGACAGAGATAGCAGCGGATACTATGTTTATCGATCGTCCTATTGTACGAGTGCCTAGTGATAAACTGACAACTACACATGTTAAACGAATGCGTGAAGTATTGATAAAACTCCAAAAATTATCTCGGATTTCACGTTTGGAAAATAGATGAGACCAACGGCGGTTCGGGGATGTAACCGTTTGCTTATCTAGCTACATCAATCTCGATTTGACAGTGGCTGAGAAAATGTTTTATTTTGCATGGTATATACATATATATATATATATTTAAATATATGATCACGGAACGTTTTTACGTTCCAGTCCTACTACATGTAATGAATATTACTCTTCGTTTATCCATCCCGTACAAAATATCCTCAAGCTTTTGTTCCGGAAATCCCGTGGCTGAAAATCATTTTCACGCAAACTGCACAGTTACTAGTAGGTGTTCCGTAAAACGAACAATCGTTCCACCAATGAATTTGGAGAAATTTTGACATCGTCAGCAACCTTCCTTGTTCGTCTGTGTGCAAGGGTTCGAAAGGAACTTCGATTCATCAAACCCGTCTAATTTTTGATATTTGGAAAGATACAGACTGAATTAATAAGATATACTACGAGGAGGTCGTCCGGCATATTTCCACAACCAAGATGGTGGATTGTTAACCTTAACAAGGACAACCGGTTTGGCAATTCTATTTATTTATTTCGTTTCAATACTTAGAATTTAGTCGTTTTCGGAATCGTTATAGGACTTGTTTCCAAATACTAATTTTAACTACATGCTCATGTGAATACTTATGTCTTACCCAATACCTGCACTTCTGCCTCACGTTTTCCATCGTACGGTTTGTGTCCGAAATTCTCTCAGGAATTTCGCCGGAAGTTTCCATTGTCTTCATACGTTCTTTCAAATTTATTTTAGTCGAGTAATTCTGGCTGTCTTCCTCACTCGACTTGACATGTCTCTCTAGTTTTGTCATTTAAGCAACAGTGGTTTTATTATTCATTAGAAATCTCGCATTGGCACTTCTGCTACTGAAAGTATTCAATATAAACACACTGTTTCTGTTCGAGTTATCCAGAGATAAAACTGTACTGCCGAAAACCTATCCACGATTAAACAGATTATTTCTTTCCCTAGTCTTGAGTGTCATCTAATTTTGTTTTACGAGGTTTGTCCTAGCGACCTCAAATGTTGACAAACTCCTCTCCCCCCCGTCCGGTCTGTATCCGTTTCCATCGATTTTCATCCCCCCTCACTTATGCAGTGCCTCTAATGTGAGAAAAAGTAAAGCGAAGCGATTATGCTTGCTTATCTCAAGGATAAGATTGCATGGAGAAATTCAAGAAAACATCGATGAGCGGACAGAAATGATGTTCTTGTTGTACCTTTTCGGTAGAATACATCTTTTGATGTGATATATGGATTCAGACTGCGTGCTATCATCAATGGGCAGTCCTTTTCCAATCGGGCAAATCGCCTGATAGCCTATTCCATTTGGTTAGTAGTATTATTTGCCTAGTAATCGGCGGCCAATCAGAAAAATCCATTCCGGTGCAAATTACATCGCAATCATCATTCACATCATATGTCCAAACCCAGAGTGAAATGCATTTGTAAGCGGTCGCGGTGGAAATCTGATGAGCACCTCAACTGAGCCCCTATCATGCGATGTGACAGTTTGAGTCAGATCAGGTCAAACAAGCAGTTGAAACCGGGAATTCTTCAAGCCAGACACAAACATATTAGAGAGGGAGTGAAACTGAATGGTTAGTCATGCTTGAGCAAGTTCAAAGGTACATGGGGGCTAGCAAATGGCACGTGTTACGAGAAAAATAGACGGAAATATGTACAGGGCGGTAAGGGACAAACTAGTAGAAGAACATAGTACATTGAAAGCTATGAATCTGTTACCCGAAAAGGAAGAATCCCATTGCATGACAGCCTCTTAAGAGCACCCACATGACTTAATAGTCATCAGGAATACTTTCAGCTTCAATGCCTTATAGTGAACAGACCGCAAGTAAGTGAGATTGTTTATTGTTTCTATCAGGAAATATTTCCTGCACAGAATCAAATAAGGCAGTGAACAAAAAGGGATCTCCAGGAATGCTGTGACTACTCACCCGATAGGCCAAACGATATGGGCAATTCTGACCAAAGCCCACAGGAGGTTCAAGCTTGCGTAACATCTCATACATTTCCGTGTGGTGAATCCGACCGCTAGAGAGGAATAGAGAAATAATTTATCAAACAGGGTATCTGAAGGCCAGTTTCATGGTCACAATAAGTAGATATATTTGATATTTTCCCTGAAACTCTTTTTCTGACAAATAAGGCCTGTCATGTATAAGCCCTCGAACAATGTGTTAGACTCAAATGTGGGCACATTTCTTCAGAACAATTTTTGGTTACAGTTTGGTGGAGGAACGGAGGAATAGTCAAAGGGTGTTCATGTCCTAGGTCAATGTGAGAATTATCCGTGACAAACCTAACCAAGGTTGATAACTATGCTCAATGTGAAGAGATCCAAAACGGTGGTCGTTCATCTGTGGGCGGGACAATTGTTCCGATTTATGGGATTCCTGTTTCGAAATAGGGGAATTGCAATTCGATCATCATTTTATATTTATTTCCTCGTAGTCATCCTTAGCAAACATCCATATCGATAACTGAACAGGATTGGATCAAACAACATTCTGCTCCGTCGTGATCACTGAGAACAGTTGCGAGGGTGACCAGTGATAAAATCAAGGTTACTATTTTCGGTTTGAGCAAGAAATATCGGTCGTGATTCATGTCCTAAACTGACGTAATTCGATGTGATCTCTGCATTAAACTCGAAACACCACAATGAAGACAATTTCATGTCAATACGGGCAATGTTCGGCTGACGATACAACCTGACCGAATAATGAAACATTTGGGTGATGGATAGCTGGTGTGAAGAGAGAACCTTCCTCGACAATCGTAGAGATGTTTGAGTAGTATGTCGATTATTGGAGTGATTTATCAAATGAAGTCAGCGTGTCTCCCCTACCACTGAATTGTGATGAGAACATAGTTTAAACCTCTTTCGGATTTCGCCGCAGTTTATAACAGCTCAACCCCAGATAGAATAGGGTACTATTCCCAAGCGCTACCGTCGGACTATGTGGGCTGGCTGCAGCGGTTGGGTTCATCTCAACACCATAATTAGATAGTTCCCACGCGCCTTTTCAGCGGTATGTACACCGCATTGACGTATCATGATAGTTCACTTCCAAAATGTTCCATGTGATTTGAGTCCTCAAATCGTAAGCATTTAAATCTGCTTGAGAGTGCTCTTCGAATGGAAAACAATTTGGACGGGAAGACACTAGTGTACTTTGCCTTGCTTGTAGGATTACATCAAGATGTCAAGCTGCTGTCTTGATGATGACATATATTTATCAAATGCATGGATGTGTCCACGCGGTTGTATTGTTGTGAGGTACTACTCATATTTGTGAGTAGTAGGAAATGTTGATTTATTTCAACCATCAAAACTAACAAGATCACCGAGGGCAAATTGCTGTGTCTCAAAGAATAATTAACGATTGCCACATTCATTACCCGTTGTGCGGCCAGGGACTGCAATGGTATGTTTCTGATGAGATTTCTGTGTCATGAATGCGAAATTAGTGATGTCTCATTTCCTCAATAAACAACCATTCTCGACCAGAGCTGCCCTCTGGAATTACAACAGTATAACATAGTGTTTTCGATGAGGGATGCAAAGATTTTTCAAGAAGATAGCTAGTGAAAAGGGAAAGAAATGAGCTTGTTTTCGTTGTTCATCCAAACACCATGGAGCTCGCCAAGTATTCATTCTTTAATAGAACAGCCCCACAAGTAAAAATGCAACAATCCAGACGAGAATAGATTTAACCAGATTCAGTGCAAGAAAGAAAACTGAAAGCACTGAATGGTTTTGGGGTTTGTAATGTTACTACAGACTGAATCTTGGCCCATATAATGTTATTAGGCTGTAGCTTCATGCACTGATAATGTTCTTACGACCAGGAAGAGTGGAGGCAGTTACGTAGTAGATTAGAGACCAACGGGGTCAACATGCAATTGTATTCAAATCAACTGAAGTGTATGTCTGATGCACCCCGGAAGGGGAATGTTCAACAGTTAAGTAGCTAAGGAAGAACAAACTAAGAAAGTAAAATTACAGCCGAAGTGTTGAAGGAAACGACGGAACATGAAGTAATTTACGAGAAGAGTGAAGTAAATTCAGAAACGATGCATTCCGGGTTACGCAGAAGTCGAGCAAGATACTCCACAGAAGGCCGGTAGGCGGTTCTGTGAGAAAAAATACAGTTACAGTGGGATCGTGTGGAAGAACCGAGTGAAAACTTTTGTAGGATTTCCGTGCAGCAGATACAAAGTGTTGTTCGTTTTCTTTTGTGGATGACGAATTACTTGAGTTTGTGTGTTGTGAAATGATGAAGTGACAGACACTTTCACAAAAAATCCTAAAACTTCTAGAAACTTGTGTTAGGGATCTGGAGAACAACCCGAACGTTCTTTGAGCATCTCTGGGAATATTACAGGGGAATCATTCAGCCAAAGGGGCAAAATACAGACAAAAATTAAACGGCAGACAAGGAAGAGTGGGTCAGGCAAAGCTATCGAGAGTAGGACATGAAATGATAATTTTCTGACCTTTCAAAAAAGAGCGATAAATAGCTAATACTAGCATAAATTAAGGTTAAATAACACATCGAGATACCTAAAATTTAAGGGTTAGTTAACGCTGTCATCTCTTATTTACGTAGAAAGAAAATTTGGTGATAAAAAGATCATGATGAAACGGTTTGACGCTAAATTATTTTGACGATCTGTGTGGATGGATGTAGAAAACGCTCTAATTTGGACACATTTAAAATAAACATGTTCATATGGGCTTTATCGATTCAATGATATTTTAATTTCATATTGTTAACTTCTGTGTTTGTTTGTCCTGAGTGAATGATTCAACTTACGTGGCACCCGGATCGTATTCAGCCCAAACGCGAATAAACTCGTCCAGATGATGTGATCCCAGGATGGAAGAATCTCGCGTCAGATAGTCAAAATTGTCCATTATCACAGCCACAAATAAGTTGAGCATCAGAAATGAGCACAAAAAGTTGAACGACACAAAATACGCGTAAGAACCGTAGCTGCCGCAACTGGTGGCTGACTTGTTCACGCACTCTTGACCGTCTGTACAAGCAAGCATCACTTCTTGCCACGATTCGCCCGTTGCACATCTGTGATTGATCGGAATATGTTAACGGATGAATTTCGATGCCGGTGAGTGATCAAAATGGAATCAAATATGGCATCTAAGAGAAAGTGGCATGTAATAATCCAAAATGTCTCACAATTGCAAGCGCGCACCTATGGGACACTCAGTTGGTAGACGGTTAGCCTGTGCGATCAGAACATTTTTTCAAAGTAATACGTTTTAGGTTGGTGGAAAACTCCGGGGACGTTGGCGTTCATCTCATGAAGACAGATTTTTGCGTAAACGTCACTTAGAGAAAGAACAAAACTTGCTTATACATGCGATCGCGATGACGTAATGCAATAATTATGATTAGGTAATGCTACAGTCATGTCCGTACTAATGGGCATTGACTCTCCTCGATGCACATGACCTATCCTCTTTCTGTTCAACTAGGAATGTTTTTTGCTTTATAGAAACATAAGTGGAAAGGCTTGAAAATGGACTTACCCAAAATATATATTCGTCTACGGAATTTATTCTGATTCATTCAAAAGCATATTCCATGAACTTGACCGTCAAGGATTTAAATATTTTCATTTATGTATATATGTTAGTATAATCAGCGCGATGTAAACAAAGTGTTAACACTGTACTGAAGCCGGTGGTAAAGGAAACAGGCAAAAAAAATTTATCAGAATTTTCGTTGTCATCTTACATACCATCCATGTTTCTTTGGTTTCCATCACAATTTTTCTCTCATTGTTTGAGGGGACCTGTGGGTTCGAGTAATCCTCGTATAAATAATCATCGCATTCACTTTATTGGTTTCAAGTCCTTTTGAGCGAATCCATTCCAGTTTCTAACTAACGAAATTCATCATCACTCCGACCCTGACCGGATAGACAGGTGGAGTCAACCGAAGCGAATACAGTGGACAAATGCAAGTAGCCCCTTTAACAAGTTGTAAGTTAATCGCCACGCTTTTTCTTCAAGCCACCAAATGCAGTTGCAAACACTGATCAGACAAGATTGAAAAGGCATATATGCATAATGGGTATCCAACTCATCAGAAGAGGTGAGGTAGATAGGTGGATGTTGGAGCGTAACTACAAATGTCTCCGTATGAGCGCTAACGCTTGACCTTGTTCAAAGACCGACTGAACCTCAGCTCCTCATTGAATTGTGGCTTTCATAAACCACCCAGCTGCTCTGCGGGTCAGGTTTTGGCTGCTCGGGGGCTCCAATCGAGAATTCCCCAAGATATTTCATCTGCTTTGATCTGGGCAGCCTGCCTATGTTCTAACCACGGGCGAATCATAGACTGAATTGTGTTACGGTGATTTGTTCTGCGCACAGTTTGGACACAAACGTGTGCAAAGCCTTACATAATAGAAGTAGAACACAGTTTTACAGACACTAGACTGGATTTCAGTAATAAAATTGCCTCAGTTCAGCCACAAGCTTCTGTTTCACTCCCGGTTTAAACAAGGAAGTAGTGGAATGCAATGTAAGTATCATCATCGTAATTTAGATGAGTTGAGCTCTGAGCGACGGGGCAAACTTACCTAAACAATAAGAGGGCCGCATTGAGGAAACTGTGAAAATTATTGTACGTGGTAATCTGTCCCACTTCGTCGTTGATTGCAATTGTGCCAAACACCTATAAGAGTAAATTGTAATTGTGGGTGAGGAGAAGAAGGAGTTTGTTAACCATAAACGCATATACGACAAAAGAACAATAGCAGTCAAAGTGAATAATTCCACGATCCAGTAGACCAATCACAAAACCTATCATGATCTCATACGGGAAGGATCGGTGCAACAAGCGAAGCGAGTAGTACTTTCGGTTTCAGTCACGTGTTCAACAATTGAATAACCCCTAGAAAAATAACCTGGATTTTATCCAGGTCTGAGCTTAGTTGTCGGTCTGTCCGACATTGCTTTTTCCCTCTGAGCAATGACTTTGTTGTCTGTTTCATGCGAAGTTTTCAGTCCTCGTAAGGTATCTATTGTCCAGTTTCAATGATAGTGTTTCTTATTTGAATGGTCTAATATGAAAGTAAATCGGTCTTCGCCTGACATAACTCTTGTTACCTCATTTTATAAATAGCCATCCATAACCCCAATGCTTCAGTTACGCAGTCTCTCTAATGGCGATCTTCGTTCAAAACGTCGAACGTAGCGCATGGACGGGGGACAAGAAAAGTAAAGTTTGTGTATAAACGGCACTGACTATTCTCGTGAGTTCTAGTGAGTGAATAATCTTTGACCCCTTTGCCTTTCTGTTCAATCAAACTGCTGTTTTTGATTAATATTCTTCAATAAAATCCTATAAATAAACCCATGGTGTGATCTTCCGTATGTGCTGCTGAGGGACTGTCCTGGAACTCGATAAAGTTACTCACTGCTTGCATAATAAAATAACTTCTGAAATATTGGCACGCAATGAGCATCACACCGGTTCCTGGGAAGGATATCACTGAATTTCATCCTATGTCGTACGTCTCATGTGCTTTGCAATTGTTAAAAAAACGAGTTCTGCGCAAGATGTCCGCACGCTGTGCAACATTATGACCGATTCGGTTCAGGAGCTGACAAAGCGCTATTCGTACCCGAATAAAAATCACAATCCTTTTGGAATTCGTTTCTTGAACTGAAGCGGTACGCTTTATATTGACTGGTGGGACAGTACGTTACCTGGATTGGTATCTTCTGATATTTTCCTTTTAATATTTTTACTCTTTCTTAGAGCATATCATTGATAACTATCAAACAAATTTATGTTATGGAGTTCCTGAAGACGATACATTGTTCGAAGTTATACATCCTATGTGTGTACTCTGAATACCTGTGCATTCTGACTTTCGACTGCGTCGTTTTCTATGGTAGTTCTTCTTTCGGAGAGCTCTGTTTCTTCTGCAATGCATATTGGCATTTTCATGGATTGCTCGCTAGACTTTCTAGCATTCAAGGCATAGCACCACAACCAAATGCATTTGTATTGTTATTTCTGAATAAGTGCAACTGATTTAATCAGATCAATATTGTTCAATCGCTTTTATGAAGAGCTTTTAACCCAACTGCCATGGGAAAACACAAATAAATGCATTTAACTTTAATACAAACATACTGTCCAGATGCCATTTTCATCACAAATTCACATCAGAGTTAAAAAATGCACCGCTTGCAAAAGCAATAAATAGGCATGGTTCTTTTGACAAAATCATTTCGTTATGGCATTCATTAGCACTTTTCATGAGGTTGATAATTAGCTAAAACGAATGATCAGACATCATTTGGGTTATGTAATGTACCTACAAATACTGGGAAATCTACTTTTATAAATTGTTTTCTTGGTAGAAGTTGGTATTAGTAACAATTCCGTCCGTATTTAGCACTGGTGTACAAATACAAATATACAAATACAAATCTGTCGTGATTTCTCCATTCATGATCGCTGTTCTGTTCGGTTTTGAAGAAATGAAAATTGCTTGCGGACCGGAGAAAAGACATGCTCCACTGAACTGAACCATACATGTTTCGTGACTACCTTAAAACCAAGTAAATGTAAAACAATAGTACAACTGACTAGCTAATAACGGTTAGTTGTTTTAAATTGGACAACACTTTTATTTAGATTGATCAGTCTTTCTGCAAATCAGAAAGCTACACTGCGGCAAAACTCCTTCAAAGGAGGTTTGTACTGTGCTAGCGCCTTTCAAATCTGGCGTGAACAGCTTTGTTATCATTTAGTTCAAAATAGCGGACATGGTGTTGAGGTGTAAGAGAAATCGTCACTCCAAGTCAAAGAACTTAAGCTGTGAAATCGAATTTTTCTAATGCTCATCACATTAGGTTGTGCAATAAAAAATGTGTATGCATGTGCTTCAAACAGTTGATAATCAACTGAAACCGGGTTACCTATGGGAAACTGTTCCCCGAAAGGATTCACTGATCCTAATAGAACTTAATCCCATTGATTTCAGTCTGAGAAAGTAAGGAGAGCATTGTGTTAACCAGATCATAAACGTACCTGCATTCCGACCACGGCATAAATGAAAAACAGCATAGCGATCAACAGTAGAACGTATGGAAGTGCTTTGAAGGATTGAATGAATGTCCAGAGTAAGATGCGAATAGTGTATCCTTGACGAATTAATTTGATCAAGCGGGCAGCACGAAACAGTCTCAAAAATCCGAGGCTCAAAAACGAAGAATCCTGAAGGTAGGCAGAGAAAGATCGGATGACGTAAAATATAGTGCACCCGATGTTCAACCAGATAAGACTATCAACATAGTTGTGTGTAGACGATATCGACATTTTAGACGTTCCGATTGAATTATCAAACAATCTGAAACTTTATCTTTCCATATCATGGAAGTATATTTGGTATGTGATAGCAACGGTAACTCTGAGGTGATAAATCGTCGCGTATCTTTGATGGCCATCATTTGCCCAACTCTCTTATTTGACTCAAAAACGTCAACACACGCATTGGTGCTCACACCGTAGCAAAACAATCTTCCGGCTAAATTAAGTTGGGGCTAACTTAGGAGGGACCTCCACAGGATGGCGTGTGGCGTGTGAGGACAGTTTTTCTCAGTGGTTGGACAAAGTTTCCTGCAAAATCTAGCAATTACAAGTAAACTCTACTGTGAGCCTTCACTGCATTCCCCTCTGTCAAAGAGCGGTAAATGAGATGTCTGAAAACCACCAAGAGTCGTACACCAACATATTGCTATTTGACAGTCCGCACTTGGTTGTACAAATGCTGGAACGGACGCACCCTCAAAATGCTAGATGGGGCTAGAGGTACTTCTTGAAGCCAAACCCGATGAAACATCAAGATATTCCACTGAGTCGTGTAAAAGTGCCGAAAATGGGCTTGCTTGCCATACTGAATTCACGAGTATACCATTTTGGCAAGTTACGCTTCCTAATTAACAGACAACCTAGCAACATAGAACGAATTACACTTAATGCGCTTGTTTATGGCCAAAACAATCAGCATCTTATGACGGATTATTTTAATTCTAGCAAATGTTTCTTGGTTTCGTTTACTGTGTTCTCTCTGCAAAATGTGCAATATCGCAGCGTCCGATCAGTTAGGTAAATTCATCCAAGTTTTCGTCTGCAATCTACAACATTTTTCTTTGTGATTGCTTAACTAGTTGTTAAATTGAATAACATTTAATTTATATTTAGAATTTTATCTGTTACCGGATAGTATCATGTTATCTTTCACCGACCAACTATCTTTCACAGAATGACCTAATCAAATTGGATTTGTCCAGATTGTGTTTTTCTACTTGACAGCCAAGATCACAAGTCTCATCGATATCGCCCTAAAACAGCATTAAATCGGTGCACAAGTTCGTCTAAGACATTGCGAATCGGACTGATCAAGCATTTACACACATTACCCACCTGAAGTTCAGAGACCAGGACATCTGTGATACTTCCAACCACGGTGATAAAGTCGAATGTGTTCCACCAATCGCGAAAGTAGCTCTGAGATGATTGGAGATAATTGAACCAGGGTACAAAAGAAGCAAACAGATAATATAATATATATATAATATATATATATAATGTATAGTATAATATTCCGACTGATTACAAACAAAAGCGATGTCATTGCGGAAAACGAAACTGATTATCTCTGTTGAGAATGCTTATCCACGAACAGACTTGAACTATGGTTTACCCTTACTTGGATAACCCAACCCAAATGACTTTTATTTGCTTCAGCAGCTATTTAAGTCCATTGTTTCGTATCTGAACAAACTCATTGAACCCCTGATTTCGTTTGGAGCTCATGATCCCTTTGGCATGTCAATGCATGAGATTCTAAAATCCATACCGTTCAGTGGTACGTATAGGAAATCAGCCTCTAGCTCGGGCCTAATGCCTTTTCATTTTATCTCCACACACGTCTGAGTCCAGACTGCATGCCAAACAAATTACAGCACAATAATGTTTATGAAAAGGAAAAGCTCCATGATTTGCTCGAAAGTGCACTACGGTTAGGTTGATCCGGACAAAGCGGTTGACTTTTCTTGGGGAATCCATAACCGAGGCCTTCGGCTGATCAAAGCCCGACTCGCGAAACAGTATGGGGGTGTATGTGGGGTCAAAAGTAATAGGTGTTCAATACACTTCCATGCCCAATCCAGTTGGTGACCACTGCCGCAATTAGGAAGATGCGGATGGGTGTGGTTCGTACGCCTAGTCTCGGTTGGTTTGAATTCAGGGTTTTAGAAAACTTCTATAGGTGAACTGCCAGTAGTTCTCTTACCCGTTTATAGCCCTGGATGTTGGCTTTCGTCTTCTCATTTTGCTGGAAAACATCCTCACCATGGGAAGGCTCTGGGTAAGGCTTTCTGAGCAAAGACTGTTTGAGATCCCAGTTATCGAGAAAATTAAATTTGAGATAATCACTGCTTCCAGACCAAAACTCTTGATTAAATATTTGTTAAAGGTCAATTACCTCTCCCTTTACTAAACATTATTTTTGCGATACTTTTAGAGGAAACTCGGTGACCAGCTTGAAACGTGCCTCATCCTGATAGTTTAGCAGTTGTTTTTTTATTCTCTAGCTTTTTCACGGCTACTTCATTCAACGGGGACGCTTTATCCTATCCGCAACCGGAGAACGCACCCCGTAGCGTGTAGTTCATTATTTTTATGCTCCGCCTTCAAGTCTACACTGGTTGAAGGTCCATTGAGATGAAGATTAATGGAGCAATACCAAATTGTTGTATAATCTGGATTCTCTTGTTATCCATACGTCAGACAATCGACTTGTATCAATGTTGAAATTTCGCTTAGGGCAATATTCAATGCAAAATCAATAAAGAATGGAGGTTAGTCACGAAGGGATATCAGACAAACTGATCAATTATAACAGATTTTGTTGGCTGAAACACGTTTCACTTTTTTCACTCTCCAATACATAACATCAAGTAAGAAGTTAAGTCTTAAATTTGTTCAAACATGTAAACTGTAGTTCAATGGAAGAGTATTGCTGTCGCTGGACATTCTCAATTAACGTGCAAACAAGAACATCTCCACTCGTGAAATATTCCAAAATGTGGTGCACTAAATTTGTGTGCACTAATTAGGATAAATATGAATGTCATTCAGTTGAATGAGAGCAAACCGAAAATTGTGACAAGCCAATTTTGGTCACTGGTGCTTCAATGAAGTAGATAGATGTAATTAAATAAATGGATGGAGAGACCACAAGCCAGCCTTCCAGCCAGACAAACAGACATGAAGGGATAGAGAGATAGACAAGCAGCAGTAAAAGAAACGCAACTAAGGGTAAATGAATCAGGCAGATCATAAATTTGTTTATTTCTGATCACGAAATCGAAAACAACAACAACCATTGACACAGTGCATAGACAA